TAAATACACAGCACATGAAAAGATACCTGCCTCTGTATTTTCCACTATATGCATCTGATGAAGTGGGTTCTAGCCCACAAAAGCTTATGCCCAAATAAATTTGTTAGTCTCTAAGGTGCTACAAGGACTCCTCGTTGTTTTTGCTGATACAGACTAACACGGCTGCTACTCTGAAACCTCAGGAAAAAGTGTCACAATGATGGTGATAGATAAATAATTCTCTCAACAAAAAAGCTCTAATTTCAAGGTCCTTAAGTAGCACAGGAAAGAAAGCAGTGTTTGCTAAGCAAACCAGTGACCAAATGAACCAGGAAAAACATGTTAGTTCCAGATTTCTAAGAATATTACAGATAATAGGATGTAATGTTTTAAAAAATTGACTCCCCTCACCCTTTAAATCCTTTTTGATTCTGTACCTGGAATTTCTGATGATTAACCTGACTAACAAAGTTACTGTCTGATATTGCATTGCCATGAACAGAATCATGCTGAGTAATTGTAATGCAGAGATAATTTAAGTACCTTATCTACTGGTATTTATTTAACTCACCCTGTTAGAAGTCTGTAACTGACAGAAAACACAGCCATTTGGATTTTGATGGGTGCCAGCATGTTTGAAGATATGAACCCAATCACATTCTGACAGGATTCACCATAGGGGCTTATGCTGATTTTTCAAAGACAAATTAAGAAAGTTCCGCGGGTTATAACTCCTGACACTACTGGTCATCAGTTGGGTTCACAGACAGACCTCACAGCATCAGTCCTGAAATATGTCCCTTTAGACAGTGGTTTATGTCCAACTAAACTCTTATTTAAATCAATGAAAATCTTTCTGTTGACTTCAGTGGGAATTTAATCAGGTCCTGATCTAGCTAGGATGCCTTCTCTGGTTGTGTGGAATCAGGAATGAAATCCCCTCCTAGTGTCTGAGATTAAGACCTATGTACATTCTGATGCTTTTAACTGATTATGATTAATTCTCCAGATGGATTAACTGTTAATTTTATTATAAAGCTTTTAAAAATGCTTGGACAGGAAAAGGTATTATACAAGTTTAAATTATAACACTTGGTCACAGGTTCCTCTGTGTAACCAGCAACAGAAGTTGAAAAGAGTCATTATAAATATAAAAGTTAATTCTAATTTTAATAATTCTATTATCAGTTTAAAATAACTAATTTTGTGCATAATTCTTATCTTTAAGCGCACATGGTAAGCATGAGACCATCTCCCAATCCATGAAGTCAATAGAAATTATTTTAAACAGGTGTTTGTGGTTAGTGGAGATGAATTAGTAGTGTGACTAGCTCTTGGAGGATGCTGAAATGTTGCTGAGTATTGTATGGAATTGCTTTTTTTAGCACCACATGAAAGAGAAAGGTATGGTCATTCAGATCAAATTTTACAAATGTGCATACCAAGTTTTGCATCAAAGTAAACAATGCTAAAGTGAAGGACATCATATTTGTGTAAATATTAAGTTAAATTATGCTAAATTATATTTTAGAAGATATGGTGCATTGTTTTCGTGACAGAAACAGCCCTTTAGATAAATGTTAACTATAGAGAGTGCACATCACTTAAACACTAAAAATGACAGTTCATAAGGATTTTTTTTTCAATTTATAGTTCAATAAAGAAAGGTAGTCCATGTAGGTGTATTTTGTCCATGCCCACAAAACCACTTTTATGATTTTAACAAGTTCACACTTCTGGTTTTACCTTTACACTGTCCCAGCCTGAAATATTTAATATTTAACACACTGTATCCATAAATAATTGATGTGCCTGTCTTAGCAACTGAAGATCAGCAGCAAATTTTATTTTTGACAAGAGTAATAAGGTTCTCTTGCCTTCTTAGCTTTTTTATATTACATGTTAATTTCACTGTACTGTTAAGAACATGGGATTGACTTCTTCCAGTTTAAAATAAAGAGCTGTAGTGTTCCATTCATTTTGGGAAAGATCTTTAGGGGAAAACTAGCATACCCTTTGGGCAATTCCAGCCATGGAGCGTTACTATTTCTGCATTTTTGTCAATACAAGCCTCCCTGCTCTGACATCACGAGAGAAATAATAATTGTAATGCTTAGGACAGTTTTAGACAAATCCACATCCACACAGTAGGAGGATATCTCTGTTCTCCTTGTTGAAGAAAAATATCTAACAAGTTCAGTTTGATTTACAAAAAACACTGCCTGTATGAACTGATGGAGAAGGGTGGTCTTATGTTTAATACACTGTGTTGGGACTCGGGAGATTTGGGTTCAATCCTTCACCACAGACTCCCTGTGTGACCTTGGGCAAGTGATTTAGTCTCTGTGCCTCAGATCACCATCTGTACAATGGGGATAATACTACATTTCCCTCCCCCATCAGCTGTTTTATATATTTTTACTGAAACGTCTTCAGAGCAATGGCTCTTAGTGTGTATTTCTGAAACAATGGGGCCCCCATCTTGGTTGGGGGCATTTAGGCACTGCTGTGATGTAATAACAGTAACAACAGTTCCTAGTTTAAACACAGGAATTATATTATTTGTCAATTAAGTTCAAGTACTGCCTATGTCTATAGAATAGGTAACAGGCAAATCTGAACTACAAGGCTAAACTACCATTGAGGAGGTTCTTTTGTCAAGATAAATCTAGAGGGCAGGGCAAGAAAGTGTTGTATGTCAGTTCTTTTGCACTATGGTTTTGGGTTATAATATGTGAGTCTACACTGCTTTTTTCTTGCCTCTTCTATCCCATTTGTACTCTTCCCTCCCCTTCCATTCTTCCTTCTTTTCCTCCATT